CCAGCATTTGTTGCTTGACATTTTTTTAAAAAGTATTAGAGAGCACAATCAAAAGAAATATAAAAGAGTAACTATTGTAGATTATGTTTGTTATTTTCACTCTTTTTTTAAAAAAGTCACTATTTTGTTGTTGAGAATGGAGCAGAACATACCTACAGCAGTTCAGTGGTTTTCCCATGTCCAGCTCTTTGTCATTGAGTGCATTCCTGAGTTTTGCAACCTGTCTCACTCTCTTTTTCTGAGTTGTTCCTCTTCAATTACCATAAACATTCCTAGCTAATCTTTTGAATTGTCAGTTTGATCCCATATGATGTTGTTAATTCATAGCTGACCCTCCAGTGGGTTTTCAATAGCTGTAAATCTCAATGTTTTTTTGTTTGTTTGTTTGGTTTTTTCAAATATTTTTTATTTTATTTTATTATTTTTGTGTGCGTGTACCGTCAAATCAGATCTGACTGGTACAGGAGGAGATTGCCCCTCCTTCCCCAGCAGAGCATCTGGTGGATTCAAACCATGCGCCTCTGGGATTGTAGTTGCAGCTCCTTGCCACTAGGCCACCAGAGCTCCCCTTGTAAATCTCAATGTTAAGAAAACAAAGATTCTTACCACTAGACTGTTATGCCACATCATGATGGATGGAGAGGAGATTGAAACGGTCAGCTTGGTTGGATCCACAGATAACACCCTTTGTGCCAGCATTCAGAAAGTATGGAGACAAATTAAACTAGAAAATCTCCAGTTAGGAACCTCTCCAGATTATTGAGAAGTAATAATGTCATTTTGAGGACTAAGGTGTGTCTGATTCAAGCTTTGGTCTTTCTGATCACTTCCTATGCATCTGAGAGCTGGATGATGAATAAGGGTGACAGAAAAAGAATTGATGCTTTTGAGCTGTGGTATTAGATAAGTGCACAGAACATCCCATGGATGGCCAAAAGAAAAACAGATACATCTTGGAGAGGGTGCAGGTGGGGTGCTCTTTGGAGGCAAGAGTGATGAGGCTTCATCTCATATACTTTGTACATGTTGCTGGGAGGGGCTATTTTTTTTTTTTTTTGAGAGGGATATGATGCTGGGAAAGATGGAGGGTTGGTGAAGGAGATGAAGGCCCTCAACCATGTATATTGACATGGTAACTGCTACAATGGGCTCTTGTGTGTCCAGAAATGTGAGGATGGCACAGGATGCAACAGGGTTCAGATCTTTTGTTCATATGGTCGCTATAAGGCATATTCAACTCATTAGCACTTAACAACAACAAATTTCATGACAAGAGAGTTTCTCCCATGGAGCAACTGGTAGATATGAACCATGTGCCTTGGATTGACAGCACATCTCCTTAACCTCTAGGCTAAGCAGATGTTGTTTTTGTTGTTGTTATGTGCCGTCGAGTCAGTTGCAACTCATAGTGACCCTATGTACAACAGCCCTAAATCCTGCTCTATCCTGTGCCGATCACACTGCCTCTGACACACCCATCCCAATTACCCCAGTCATTGAATCAGTCCATCTCATAGAGGGTCTTCCCCTCTTGCACCGTTCCTCCACCCTCCCAAGCATGATGTCTCTCTCCAAGGACCTGTACCTCCTTACAGCATGCCCAAAGTCTGTCAGACGAAGCCCCAGAATCTTTGCCTCCAAGGAGTTGCTTGGTTTAATCCTCTCAAGGATGAATCTGTTTGTTTTCTTGGCAGTCCATGGTACATTCAATACTCTTCTCCAGCACCACAGCTCAAAGGCATCAATTCTCCTGTCCTGCCTAGTCATTGTCCAACTCTCTGATGCATAAAAGTGATTGCAAAGACCATGGCCTGTATCAGGCGCACCTTAGTCTCCAGAGAGACACTGTTGCTCTTGAGTACTTTAGAGAGGTCCCTAACAGCAGACTTTCCGATTCCAATACGTGTTTTTTATTTCCTGACTGCTGGTGCCAAGAGTGTTGACCATGGAGCCGAGCAAACTGAAGCTGTGAACTATCTCAATCTCTTCACCATCCATCCTAATGCTACCAATTGTTCCAGTGGTGAGAATCTTGGTCTTCTTGACATTGAGCCTCAGTCC